ATTTCCATCTACTGACACAAAATTTAAATTCTTTGTTTGCAAATATCTACACAAAATATTAATTGGCGACAAAACTTCGGCTAATAAGAGCATCATTAGAATCATGTCTGGAGATAATATGGCGTCACGAATACCTTTAGACTCAGGATCTTTTTTTTCATGAAATATTGTGTCTAATGCATCAAGTAGTGGTTCGTACCTAGATATAACTCGGACACATGTTTCCCCATGTGAAAGCCATCTTGTAGTACATGCTTTTAAAATCTTCAAAGGTTTCACTTCAAATTGGGTTTGCGCAGCTTCAAAAATTGCTTGTTTGATAGAGCTATACTTAAAATGCTTCCAAATTGCAATTAATAGTTTATCAAGTAAGGCAAGAGAGTCATACTTTTTAACTAGGTGAACTAAAAAAAGAACGAGACGGTGATTCCTGCAGTTTAAATATATGCTATAAGGAGAAGCATGTCTTAGAAGTCGTTGTAAACCACTCCGCTTACCACCCATTGCATTTGTGCCGTCGAGTCCGCAAAACTTCATATCCGTTATTAAAATTTTTTTTTCACTCAAAAATTGTTTGGTTATGTCAAAAAGTGCTTCAGAAGTTTTTGAACAACCAATTTGAGGTATTCCAAGAAATGTTTCCGTCGGCAAATAATCAGTCATATCTATATAACGAGCAAATATTGCTAGTTGTGATCGGTCTGCTTCATCAGTGCTTTCATTGGCAAGTAATGCGTAATCCACGCTTGCTGTTAAATCAGTGAGAACTTTAAGCTCCAATTCATTACTAATTATATCTATGTACTCTTGTACAATGCAGTTAGAAGTATATAATGCATTCCTTTGATTGTTTTTGAAATGATTTAATATATCTTGATCCCCGATGTTTTGAAGGAAATCAATAAAGTCTGAGAAATTTTGCTTTACGGCCCAATTTGTTTTAGCGAGAAAATATGCAGCTTTAAAAAATTTAATGATAACTCTTTTTTGTCTAGATTCTTCTTCTGCGTTATATTTTACACCCCCGTCAATAATCTGTTTAAAAACATTACCTTTAAGTAACATGGATTTTACTTGTTGTTTATTGGAGCGCGTTTGCGTGCTAATAAAGTGTGTGTTAAATAATTCTGTCGGGTGAAAACTGTGTTTAACACATTTTGTTTTCCAAAACTCATCACCAGAAACAGAAAAACTTTCACAGGTTTTACATAGCCAACCATTTTTTGAAATGCTAAAGTAAGCCCACTCAAATTTATTTTCCCATTAAGCTATGTGTTCACTGCTGAATCCTTTACTTTGGTTTCCTTTCCATAATGAAATAGTATAACTTATAAAAAATTAGTTTTTATACTAAGATACAATCATTATTATTTATTTTCAATAATTTCGTTGTTATTTTGTGATTTCGTTTTATTTTTGTTCTATGCTTTCGTTTTATTGTTGTTATTACATTGCCAATATAAAACAGATTTAAAATAAATAAATGATTGTCTTTTATGTTGTATTTATAAAATGCCCAATTAAAAAGATAAAAACAATTATTAAGAAAAATGTTGATAAATATTTCACATATATAAAAAGTTCTTACGTAGTTTGGTGGAATTGGTATCACTGTCTTTTTAATGAAATCAATACCACCGTCATCAAATCGCGCTCTTTTTGGCAAAGTTTCTTTTTTTTTTTGGAATAAAAAATTTTTCTATATTCGTCTTTGGTTTTACAGGCGTAATCTCTATTTCTAGACGATTAGATGTCAAATATGTGCTAGATTTTTTATTATGGCTGATTAAAGTAGATTTTGGGCGACCAGCAGCCATTTTTTTTAATCGTCGATACCTTTCTACAAACTTCGAGTGTTTCCAAATATTTTATAACTTTAAATACTTCGCGCGCATCTAAACTCTGATCAATGCCTGCCAACTCCCGATAAATATATGTAATTTTATCCGCAAAGCATTGTGGGATGTCTTGCGGGACCAAGTAATCATAAACAACGCAACTCTTAGTGAAATATTTATACCTTTGCTTTATTCTTACCAGAGGGCTTCCCATTAAAAAACTTTTTTTTTATAAATTAAAATAATTTTAAAACTATTTCATAACATTGCTTATATAACATTTATATATCATCTAACATTAATATGTTAACATTAATGACGCAGTTGTAAATTTAGCATGTTTTGCATAAGTCATTTTAATTATGTTATCACTGTATTCGTTTCATATTATTTTAAATAAATACTCCATATTAGTTTAAATATATACCCCTTAATTAGATGCTAAATATATAGTTAATAATGCTAAGAGAAAAAACAACAATAATAAATAAGAAATATATTGTTTCAAGAATTATCATTAAAATAAAATTAAGCATGGATAATGCGAGCTAACTTGTTTTTACATGTCTTGTTTCGTGGTGCCAGATCACGATTATAAAACCTTATATAATAAGATATTCTCATATAAACATAGTGTCTGACTAAATTTTCTTCTAAATGAA